TATTAAATGAGTTATGTGAATTAAATATTATGGTTTCAAGTATTAAGTTTTGTGTAAAGATTATGGAGTAAATAAAATAATTAATATTTCCTTGAAGTAATGTGAAGAAAAAGAGAGAGAAGAGATATCTGTTCGGCTAAGCGCCGGCCCATGGCAGCACAAAGAGTAGTTGAGCATCTCTTAATGTAATGTCTCTATATATAAGCTTAGGTCCAGTAAACTGTAAAATATTAACTGAACAAACATAGTCTTTTTAATACTTCGCTAAACTACGCTACTGAAAAAGCTCAGTAGCTCAACAATATCGTTTTTGGGAGTTTTTCGAATATTTATTGCGCGCAGAAAAGCGCATTGGTCGGGAGGGTTGAGACGCGTTGCTGCGTACCATCAAGCAGACTCACTATCAATAAATCTGTATGGAATGGGTGTATTAGTGAGACAATGAGGAGAGTAGAGTCTGGTTCAAAGTTAATCATTTGACATTCGTTGTGCGTCGCGTTGCACTTTGCATTGCGTGGATCGATGGAAGTAAACATTAAGGCAAGGGACATTATTAAATGTGTACTCTGAGGTTGGAGATGGAATGGGTCAAGAACCCCGCCACAGGCTGTTTTGCTAGCTGTGTCCCATCGACCTTCTTCACTGCCAACAGGATACTCAGGGAACGGCCAACGTTAAGACCGGCCTCACGCTACGGTCTGCACTGTGTTATATGCATAGATGGGTTTGGTACATTACATATGACGGCTAGCTGCTATGGATTGTGCCGAAGCAGCTAAGATTCCATATTTTACATGAATGTCACGACAAGGCTGGACACATGAGCACAGAGAAAACCATTAGTCGGATTCTAAATTTGTTTTGGTTTCCCCGAATGCGTAACTACGTTAAAAGCTACATAAAGTCATGTGTGGGCTGTGCGCTGTATAAGTAACCAGGAGGACGTCAGGAAGGAGAGAACCATTATGATGACATCAATCTGATCCCTTTTTCCACCGTACATATGGATCACCTGGGACCCTTCCCAAAGATTTCAAAACGGAATGAGCACATTCTTGTGATTGTCGACGCATTCACCAAATTTACCATAGTGCGAGCTGTAAAAAGTACAGCCACGAAACACGTTATTGATATCCTGCAGGAGGTAACCAGCTACTTGGGAATGCCAGATGGAATTATTACCGATCGCGGTACAGCTTTTAATTCAAACGATTTTGAAAAGTATTGTAAGTCGAATAATGTAAAGCACATACTCAATGCTGTAAAGACACCGAGAGCAAACGGACATGCAGAGCGAACGGACATGCAGAGCGAACCAACCGGATTATTTTGTCAATGCTATTGCCTTTAAATGAAAATGAAAAACGATGGGACGAACAGAAACGATCAATTCAATGGAGCATCAATATTTAGTACGACTAAATGTTCCCCATTTCAGCTATTGTATGGTTATGAGCCACGAGATATCCTCAAGAACACAGTGACGAATGCGATCCAAGGCCCGGATCTGAAGATGATGACAGATGGCGAGTTAGAAACAGAAGCTGTCAACTCTATGGGGGCTGTTATACGCACGATAGACCCATAGCCATCGATAACAACAGAGGCGATACTTACTTAAGAAGTCGAAGCGAACAAGATAGCACACATTAAAGAAAACCTTTTGTCAATTAATTCAGTCTACATATATTGTTCAACTTATTATATCCAATAAACACTACTATACTACTCAAAAGCCATCCCTTCACAATATGCCTTTGTCTACATTGACGATGTGTTGATAGTTGCAGTTACGAAAGAATAAGCATATGAGAGGGTTCGCATCGTCATTGACAGACTCATTAAAGCCGGGTTCTCTTTCAATATCACCAAGTGCTCGTTTCTTAAAATTCATGTAGAATATTTGGGATAATAGTAGAAGGTGGTGAAATCAGACCTAATCCTAGAAAGGTTCACGTATTTCATAATATGCCGCCTCCACTATCACTACCACTACACAATCAAGACAGTTTATAGGCCTTCCATTATATTTTCGGCAGTCTCTTCCAAAGTTTTCAGAGAAGATGAAGCCTAGGCTGGGCCAAAATTTTACCAAAAAATTGATAATTTTTTTTGTAGTTACTGTTAAAAAATTAACGATTGGTAAAATCAAGAAGTGAGGTTGATATATTTAGTTAACTTGTTCGCAAAAACTTGTGCAGGTTTTTTACTGCCAATAACTGATTAATGACGATATTAATGGTATCAATTTATATGCAATAGATATGACCGAACTATCAAACTATCAACCTAATGATCATAATAATCAACTTAATTCTAAACATAATTCATTTGACTGGAAACCTCAACACGACCAAGTACGAAAGTTGGTTATGAAAACTTTAACCAATGATACGATATTAATCATGTTCGATCCTCAGCATTCTATTGAACTTCACACAGATGCATGTGCAAGTGGCTATGGCGCAATATTAATGCGTACTATAGTAAATGTACAACGGGATATGAATCAAAATATACTTCGTAAGAAACGCTAGCTGTGTATTATGCGGTAAAGCATTTTCGTCACTACCTTCATGGGAGTGGGCTTATAATTTATACTGATTACAATGCATTGAAAGCAAGTCGCTATAAGATCGAATTCATTTCTAGAGTGCATGGAATATGGTAATTTTAGCAATCTTTTACTTTTAACATAAAGTATCGGAAGGGCGAGAGAGTGCAGCATGTGGATTTCTTGTCTAGAAACGTCTAAATGACAAAGCTTGACTCAGTCAATAAAACCGAAACAAAACATGTAAGCTGAGCATAGATTACCGATAGTTGGCTGGTTGATGACCAGCAGTGCGATTCCGAAACTTCTGACATGGTCAAAAAGCTTCAGAACAAAAAATTACGGAAAAATATAACAGGAGCATATGAATTGAGAATGGGAATGATTTTTTGTAAGGTTCATTGCTTGCCTGTAATACCTAGAGCAATCAGATGGTCTGTGATCAACCAAGTGCATGAAAATGGGAAAAGATGGGAAAATACACTAAACAAAGTATATGGGTAAAATAAAGCTTAAAGGCTTAAATAAAGCTGCATCCGATTCCCAAGGTAGATATTCCTTGGCACAGCATTCACATTGATATCATCATTTACAAAGTGTGTTCATTTGTATCATACCGTAAATTTCGACTCCGACAATTGTATAAGATCAGTCAAATCATCTATATCGATCTTTGGTGTGGCAATGCCTATCATAGCCGATCAAGGTAGAAGCTTTGCAAGTGGGGCATTTAGAGAATTTTGTTGAACGCAGAAGATATAGTTTATTGTTTAAGGTTCAACAATGTGAGGTTGAACTAATGAAAGAACAAATTATATGTATACTAATCTGCCCTATTAACCTGACCTGATGTGACTAATTTATTGGCTCAAAAAGCCGATATGGTCCAATTCACAGACAAGTTGAGAGCAGAGAATAGCCGATAAAATTAAGAATAAACGAAATTTAAATTATTCCTTAACGTAGACTTTACCTTAATAGTACAAGTATCACAGGAAAAGAGATGGAAGAACGAATTGTAGTTACGGCAACGGAAAGATTCATGGTCAGCGTAACTAGTAAGACAAAGTTGAAGATGAAGGAAAGTAATGCCTAGTCGGCGGGACGGGACAGTGATGCAGTGAGGGCTACGGAGGGCAGTAGAATCAATCTCACCAGCGAGAATTTTGTAAGTTTGTGGAGGATTTGAGAGAGTGAATATTGATGATACGCACCCTACTCTCATAAGAAGGACTATATCTAGAAGAGTCCAAATTAAGTGCACAAAGCGCGAAGATGAGGAATTGTTTTTAAACGGACTCCAGCATATCCAGATATTTTTGGTAACACCAGAGACCAGACGCAGGAATCATATTCTAAGATTAGCCGAACAAGTGATATATAAAGAAGTTTAGTGGTATAAGGGTAAAAAAACCCCACAAAAAATAAGTCCGGAGGTGTCAAATCTGGGGATCTGGGTGGCTAATCAATATTTTCATTTTTGGATACCAGTCTACCAGGAACACAAATGTCAAATCTATTTAAGGTTTACACATTGGTTTTACTGTACATATACACTTTTTATACTCGTACTCAAAAAAGAGTTAAAGGGTATATTAGATTTGTGGTAAAAGTGGATGTGTGCAACGCAGAGAAGGAAACGTTTCCGACCCCATAAAGTATGTATATTCTTGATCAGCATCAATAGCCGAGTCGATATAGCTATGACTGTCTGTCCGTCCGTCTGTCCGTCCGTCCGTCTGTCCGTCTCGATGAGCGCCTGGATCTCAGAGACTATAATAGCTAGAGAAACCAAATTTGGTTTCCAGACTCATGTGATATCACACTGCTACAAGTGTATTTCAAAATTTCGCCCCGCCTTCTTCCGCCCCCACAAAAGACGAAAATCTGTGGCAAGCACAATTTTAAAGATACGATAAAACTAAAAACGCAGTATCGTAGAGAATACCCATATCTACCAGACTGCCGAATCTGAATCAGATCAGATCAAAATTATAGCCAAAATGAAGAAATTAATTTTCTGTTGCTTCCTCTGCATCCCCCTGCCAACGACCTATCTCTTTCTCGCTCGCACACTCTGCCGCGTTCAGTGCGCGAGCAACCCCTGGCGGAGGAGATGTAGAATCTAAATGGAACATGTACAATCTACATGTTAGATGTAGAATATACATTGTAGATGTAGATAACAGATGTAGCAAAAAAATGTAAAATGTAAATTTTTTTTTTTATTCTAAAATTCGAAAAAATCATATGCTCAAAAATGTATATACTGACTGAGTACGGGTATAAGTAGAGTCGCGTCCCAAGAAGCGACTCGCACGTTCCTTCTCGTTTATAATAAGCCGCGAAATCGAACTTATATCTAAAACTTTTTGCTAAATATGTAACTCATATCTGACCAACAACCAACAAAAATTATTTTTACCTACATATTTATGTTTTGAAGGAATCGCTTTACGCAGTCGAAGCCCTTCACTTACGACTCCTTTGGAACCCTGCCGCATGCCGCCATATGTAAGTTTGGCGAACATACAAAACACAATAGTTGCATCGATCCCTGTGACTGCGACCACTACAAATCCACAATCAGTGAGAGATAAAAACAATAGCAAAAATGTAACAGTAGATCCTACCTATACCACAGCAATATCACATTCAGGGACTAAACATTTTTCCAACACCGTCGCTGCAGCATTTTCCGCATTTGATCCAGCCCTTATTTCGGTAGCTGCTCATCAGGTATATGACTCATAGTCTTAAGTATGACCACGAATTTGGTATGTCATGTATATTTGTATTTCAGTATGCTGCTGCAATGACCAATGGAAGTGGAATTTTCTCGGTACCACAGTATTCAATAAATCTGGCTGCATTTGCCGCAGCTCACAGCAAACGTTCAAGTATCGAAGATCTAAGAATGAAAGCAAAAAAACACTCTGAATCGTTGGGGTTCGAAACTGATATGGTTCTTTAGTAAGCACCATATACATATGTATATACTTGGAATAGAAAATCTATAATACTTTTTGAGTATCCATTTTCAGACAACATTAATAAACATATTCAGGCAGGCTCCGGCTTTCACTTACTTTTGCGTTTTCAGCTAAAAGTCATACTTCTTATTTCAAGGCGCTCTGACATTACCAAAGGTAAGGTTTTTTTTCTCCTGTACTGTTAAGGGCAAAATGTACTGCTCTTATACACACGCGTTAGTGCCAGCTCATACAAAACGGCCTATGTTATGGTTAATAGAGATGTATCGATTACACTACTCGACAAAAATGAACTTTTTCTTCCCGCTGTGGACCAAAATGCCTCTTTCTGATAGATTTCGGGATTACAATTTTTTATAGTATTATCTTTTTATACCCGTACTCAAAAAAGAGTTAAGGGGTATATTAGATTTACGTTCTTTCTCGTTTTTTTTATGGTTTAATTCTTTTTTTAAGAATTTTTGTAATTTGACATTTTTTCATATTTTTTTTAGAGGGATGCACTATTTTATTTTTCACATAACTTCTGTATCTTATATCTGATTGCATATAACTTTGCTGTTCTGAGAAGCTGACAAATGCAGCTATAAACCTGGATACAGTAGCTGCAGCTTAACGCCTGGAAGGTATTACGTTTTTTTTCCCGAAATTTTCAGTTTAAAAACTCAGGAAAAGTCGAAAAAAAAATATTTCTTAGCATGACGTTTTGGTTTTAGATAGATGCATTACTTAGGCGTCGATTAATGGTTTGAAAGAATTGATTGATAAACGGACAAGTTGCAGCCGTTTGACCAAAACGAATCAAAACGACGAAAACCAGAGATTCACGGCTCTGAATGTTTCTTTTGTTCATTCAAAATAACTGGACTCGGGAGATCCATGAAATGGGGTTACCCGAAACAACCTTCACACTTCCTGCTCCTCCTTTAGAGGAAATACCGCCACTAAAACGCAAAAAAAGAGGAGATGTAATCTTCGTCGCATAGAACAACGGATTCAAGTAATGACCAATCAGGAGAATATAAGTAATGAAAGCCTTTTTCACAGGAACAATTAAACGATTTGGTAAGGATCCTGGATCTTCCTAAAAGTAGGGCCGAGCTTCTTGGATATTTTTTAAAGGATGCCCTTTTATTGAAGGAAGATGTCAAAATAAATGTCAAAATAAAGCCAAGTTACCATTTTAAAAATAGTACAAAGCAGTAACAACCCCAATTCACCACTAATCTTAAAAATATTGTAGAAACATAACACTTGAATAAACGAGAAGGAACGTGTGAGTCGCTTCTGGGGACGCGACTCTACTTTTTTACCCGTACTCAGTCAGTGCATAAATTTTGTAGCTTATGATTTATGTAGAATTCTAAAAAATTTTAAATTTTACATTTTTTGCTACAACTGTTATCTACATCTACAATATATATTCTAAATCTAACATGTAGATTCTACATGAACCACTTAGATTCTACATCTTCTCCGCCAGCGGGCGGGCGCTCGCGTACATAACTAAGCAGAGTGTACGAGCGAAAGAGAGAATGAGTAGTGGGTCCCTTCTGGTGGAGGCGGGGGAAGCAACTGAAAATTAATTTATTCATTCTGGCTATATTTATGATCCGATCTGATTCAGATTCGGCAATCTGGTAGATATGGTCATTCTCTACGATACTACGTTTTCAGTTGTATCGTATCTTTAAAATTGTGCCTGCCACAGATTTTCGTCCTTTGTTGTGGCGGAAGTGGGCGGGGCGAAATTTTGAAATGCACAAAACAAAATTTGGTTGCTCTAGCTCTTATAGTCTCTGAGATCTAGACGTTCATCGAGACGGACAGATGGACGGACGGACAGACGGACTTGGCTTTATCGACTCGGCTCTTGACGCCCATCAAGAATACTTTATGGGGTCGGAAAAGTTTCCTTCTCTGTTCCACTTTTTACCACTTTCCACTGATCCACTTTTACCACAAATCTAATATACCCCATAGCTCTTTTTTGATTACGGGTATACAAATTTTTATTAAAACTTACTGAAAAGACTGAAAATTTCTGCTGGTTGTATGGGTTAAAGCATGAAATCCAATATATTAGCTACTCATGGGAAGTTGGAACAGCAACGTACCGGACGGTATTTTTTCAGTTAATGAACTTTCAGTCGTTAAAGTCAAACGGCTGCAACTTGGCCGCTTATCCATAAATTCTTTCAAGCGATGCCTTAAACGACGCCAAATTAATGCGTCTATACAAACCAATTCATGCCAAGAAATATTTTTTTTTCGACTTTTCCTAAGTTTGAAAAGTCAAAATTTTTGGAAAAAATATCGCAAAAAATGATCAAATTTGAATTTGTAAGCTTAATGTCGTCCAGACGTTAAGCTGCATCTACAAAGTGTCTGGGTCGGATTTATAGCTGCATTTGTCAGCTTCTCAGAACTTCTATGCAATCAGATATAACATACTTAAGTTATGTAAAAAATAGATGCACTACCTCTAAAAAAAAATATGAAAAAATGTCAAATTACAAAAATTCTTTAAAAAAAAACTAAACCATAAAAAAACAATAATATACAAATTTTTAAATCCCGAAATGTAAATTATAAAATAAAAAATGAATGCTATAAAAATTTGTAAATCCCGAAATTTATCAGAAAAAGTCATTAGCGTTATTAAATCCGGCTGCCTGACCAATTTTTTCAGATCCAAAATCCAAAATTATGTATAAAATTAGCAAAAGCTCAAATGCACTGGTAATGGTATCAAATCCATGTCAATGCATCAATCAGTCATCTGTTTTTTTTTTTTAATTTTGCAATTAAGTTTCGTTTTGTTGTATAAAAAGCCTGTTACTTTTCGTTTCGGCGAGAAATATGTTGCCGTTTTGAAAACGGAAAAATTTTGCGTTTTCAAAAGTAAATAGGAAGTTTTTTTCGAAAGTGGAAATCGGAGCCGCCCTGATAGTATTATATTACACACATACATTTTTATATCGTAGATTAAATAAGAAATTGTACGGTTAATTAAATAAAGAAGAATGACAACGGATCAGAGGAAGTTCTGATGTGTTCCCTCAATCTATGTTGTAGAGAGACACTAGCCAGCATTTTGCTGAACATGCTGAGTAGGAGACCAAAGGAAACGGGATACGGCAGCCGACTGGTGACGTCATTGCTGTCGAAGTGAAAAAGCATGACATTTGAGGAGATAGCAGTCTCAGTGGTGTTGGCGCATGCAGGTCGACACTGGGGTGCAGAAGGCACTATATCCGACAAACATACGAACCCGGTGCGAAGCAGATATTTTTATCAACAGTGACGTGTCATTGCCAAGTGGAAAGCTCGGCCAACAAATGGCGGTATGTCCTAGCAAGAATGCAACAACAAGAAACTATGACGGCAGAGCAGAGAGAACATAGCGACAGTTGCAAAACGGAATTAAGTAAGGATTGGTGCCAAAATTGGTGGGGAAAAAATGAATGAAGTAGTTATTTTGAAAGTAATTGGAGAACATTCGATTCGTGGCACAATCCAAATTTTATCAACTGTATAAATTGGCGAATATTCTATAGAAATTCTATTTCACGTAGTAATAGATAAATTCCTAAATGATAGGACAGGAAATTTAGCCGAAGTATTCGGTGTAACCATGGGTGCAAGTTTGAATTTTATAAAATCAAAATCATTAATGAACTAGCTGAAGTGCCCAGAAAATGCTATGAGAAGCTTTTGAACAATGATAGTGTAACGAACCATGGGAATAATGGATCGCTACATTCATTAGTTCACACTTTACACCACTTCGCTAACATAAGAACCATTGTATATCTAGCACTAGTCCCGAACAGAAGAGTTATAACAACCCCATTTAATTCATAACGTGACTCGATCAGCAACTCTACACATGCCTACCATCGACCTAAACGCCTTATCCTTTTCGTTATTTCCAATTAGTAAAGGAAACGCTAAGGAAGCCCACTCTTGATCTCCACACGACCCAGACTTAGTAACCTGGATCTTCCTAAATATTAAGCCGAGTGTTTTGGATGTTTGTACCTGTTCGCGTTCCTTTGGTATAAAATGTTGTGGACAGTTACTTTTTTCGTTATCTGAGGCAGGATACCTGTTCAGGCCAAATGTTTAATTTATATTCTCTCAAGTGCAGGTCCACACAAATGTTGTTGACAGTTTTTTGTTTCGTTATGCCCAAGCTGAGGTAGGATACCTGTTCAGGTCAAATGTTTCCTTTATATTCTCACAAGTGCAGGTCCACACAAATTAGACATTTGTCCCATCTACTTTTTCATATTCCAATGAAACCAAAGTAGAAATACCTGAGATATAGAATTGAAATTATATACACATTTTTTATTTGGTGTTATGTTGCTACAAGTTTTAAACGTATGTGATAAATTTTGGGTTTCTACAGCTTGTTACTGTTCTTAAAATAATTTAAGTTTTGTGGATGTCTTCCTTTGTCATTCGAATCAGATTCCCTTTTGAGAGTCCACACATAGTCGCCCAACATATTCTCATTCCAAACACCTTGATACCGTCGTTCCATAGATTTTAATTGTTGATGAAATCTCTCTCCGTGTTCATCACTAACGTCGCCTAGGTTTGTCGGAAAAAAGTCCAAGTGGGAGTGCAGGAAAAGGATTTTTATTGACATGTTGAATCCAATTTTTTCATAATTCTCAATTAGGTCTTGAATGATATTAACGTAATCATCACTCTTGCTGTTACAAAGAAAATTTGTAACTACCATTCGGAATGAGTTCCAAGCTGATTCTTCATTCGAAGATAAAATATTTTCAAATCCATCATCTTTTAGTAGTTTTCGAATTTGGGCCCATCAAATACTCCTTCTTTATCTTTTGCCAGCGATAGACGTGGAAAACAGCTTTTAGGTAGCGCATTGATTCGCTTAATGTGTAATGGTGGTAAAATAACGTCTTCAAACTTCACGAGAGCTGCATTCTGTTGTGAGGACCTATCTGAGGCTGAGGTATGCATCAGTCCGTCCAGGGTTCTAAATCAAAAGATATTTGTAATTCACGAGGATTTTATCGGGAAAGAACCAGGAACTTTGTCAGAAACTGAAAGAGAACGATTA